GAGAGAGAGAGAGAGACCGTACAGAGTTGTATTCTGCTTGGCCTGGATGTGTGTGGATGAACTCCTTGACAGTTGTGCCATTTCTGATCACAGTCATCTCTGGTCTGTGTAGCTCAGTTGGTTAGAGCACCTGTCTTATGAGCAGGAGGTTCTGGGTTCCTCCTTCTGGGTCTGGCTCTATGTTGCATACCGTAATGGTGCAGACCAGAAAAAACCGACCTCTCTCACATAGTACAGGATAGTGCAGCGGAAGGCTAAAATACCAATGATCAGACCAATCAATGTCACAATGCAGACCAAACATACATCATCATCATCGCAAGGTGTGAATGGGCCTGGCGCTACACACAGGAAGAATGCGCCAGGCCCAGATCATACACGGACGAAGAGGAGGGGGATCAGACGAAGAGGAAGGGAGGAGATGAGAATGTCGTCAACACCAATGTCATTGTACCGATCCCAAATAGTCTCCCCTCAATGTCTGTGTCCCAAGGTTGAGTCTGAATCCAAATGTCGTCAAATCTCGAAGTCACAAATCTCTGTCTCTCTTTCTCCCTCGTAGCCTGTCAGATAGTGAGAAGTCAGGTAGAGAGAGGGTGAGGGAGAGATGGTGGACTTAGAGGAGGAAGAAGAAGAACTCTCCCTCTCTCTCTCTCTCTGGTGCCAGGTACTAACCTGTGAAGGTGGCGCCTTGTTGTAGGTATATTGAAGAAGAAGCTGGAGCTACGGCGCCACAGGTAAGCTCCCTGGTAAGTCTCCCTGGCCTCCCACTTCCCTCTCTCCCAACGCTACTCTAAGATCCTAGCAGCGCCCAGCGCCGAAGACTACTCCTATCGCTATCTGCTACTACTGCAGCGCTCCTGCAGAGTGCTGCTGCTGAATCCTGAAGACTGCCTCCTGAACTCCTCTGCCCTCGCTGGCGGACCAGTACTATATAGTGCTGGTCCGGCTGGAAGGCTGCTCTTGCCAACGCCAAAACGTGCCAGACCCTGACGCCCAAGTTCAAAAAAAGGTTGTCTTGAAATGGGTCTAAAAATGGCCTGCACTTATTCCTGGTCTGACGCCTAAGTTTCGGGAAAGGTCGACTTTATGAGGGCCTAACATTCGCCCTCCTTTTCAGGCTGAAACGACACAGGGCCTGGAGGGCCCTGACTTATCCCTTGTTCCGCCGGGTCGGGCCCCGCAGGCCCGTGTAGTGTGCAGTATGCCACACTCTACCTTCGTCGTAAGTTCATTGCAAAAGAGACGAGTTTTTAGGAGGACGGACACACAACAGCCACGGAATGATTGCACTCTGCTTGGTGAATGAGTCTCTATTCAGGTGAGTGACTCACAGACTCAGCTGGATGGAGGCTGTCTCATGAGCGGGAGGTCCTGCCAGTGGGTCTGATTCCCAGCACAGATCTTTTCACTCCCTCTTCACGGGAGCTTCTCCAGATCCTCTGATTTTCAAGGCATTGAAAACTACCTTTTCCGAAATGCAGTTTCGGCCTGGACAATCGAGCCTTCTACTTGACTGTCGATGTATGCAGCCATTGGATATGGGTCAAGCTTTACTTATCTCATCTTAATCAGAATCAAGTAGAAATGACCACCGCTGCACTATCCTTCGCATGCAAATCCCACTGTCCCCAGCTCCATCAACCTATTGTGCCCTGCAATCGGTCATCAGAGGACGAAAGCAAATGCAATCCAGTGATGCATTTGGCAGTTTGTGCTTTGCCTCCATAAAAACGAGCTTTTATGGATTGAAGTAGCTTTGTGAACATGCTTTTCCTGTACACTGCACCGGTGTATACACCACCCTCCCGGTTCTGTATTCAAGACAGATAGGATCGTGGATGAACGTAGGCAAAAGTGTGACCAGGAGCAGAGATTGCGGGACAGAAGAGAATGGATGAATGGAAACCGAGACGCTTCCCGGTCCCCCGGCGTCCTGGATGCGCCCCCACGCCCAGCGTGGTATTAGTGAAGAACATCAGGCAGCGGCACCTACCCGTCTTATCCCTGTATCTGGGCTGAAATTTCACACAAATACAGCTGTAAGGACACTTCTCTCTGGTCGGTGAGGTGCAAAGGTGTTTTTTTTTTTTTTTTTTTGAATTATCCGACCTCTACAACAACCTGGTAGTCCCCGCTACCGTAAGCCAGCATGGACTTCGGTAGCGTTCGAACCCACTCCACCGTAGTTAAGCTCACGCTACCTTCTTCATCCGAATACAACACACGGTCATCATAGCTGTATCTAGACCGAAAGATCCCTCAAATGCAGCTATAATGGTCGTATGTTGTATTCGGGTTAAGAAGGTAGGTGCATGGAGACCAGAGAACCGCTGAGCACCAGCCACGGTAACTGTAGGGTAACCACGCAAGTCATCGCATGCTCCCACCGAGACTTTTCGAAGCGGACCTGGCCACCATACCGGCCAAATACAGCATGCAACATTCTGGTGTGAGTACCCGCGGCAGGGTCAGCGTACCCCTGTGGCTGCTGCAGCACCCACGGACGATCGCATGATTGACGCAGGGGAGAGTTGTATCTAGCTGCGCAGGCCGCGTGCTCGTGAGACTTCAAGATTTATCTGAGGAAAGCTTTGGTAGTCATCATCCCGGGCAGATGCAGCGTGCAGGATCCTACGGTCTTAACCCGAAAAGAGCGCCCGGTGGTTATAGCAGTACTTGGAGCAACTTTCAGTCCCGATACAGCCATAATGACCGGCCCTTCCATTCAAATTGAAAACGATAATGCGAGTACGAGCGTCAAGGTCAGCTTAACCGTGCGATTGCTGCAGTGAGAAGCCGACGACCGCTTGATAGGCGCAAGGGGAGGGGATCAAGTGCTTTCGGATGAACTTTGTCCAGATTGCAAACTGTATCTTGGCCCATAGTGCAATTAAATTATAACTCGTTTTTGTGACTCTACTGAAGTTACCCCTTAAACCACTAGTACCTCGCCCAGTGTAAATCTGATCGGCCCGCTATTTTCCCACGCGGCAAAGGTACTAGTGGTTTAAGCCTGTCAAATCTGGGACTCGGATCCACTACCGTGGTGCAAAACCGCGTGTGGTGTTCTTTTTTTATTTAAATAAAAACATTCAAAAAATATAATTTTTCATCTATACGAATGTACCCACGGTTGCAATTACGCCATCTGCCACGGCGTGTTCTATTCGGTGAAGGTGGAGATTCGGTTCGGCAGAAGGGAAGAAAATGGCGGGGGGGGGCTGCAACAAAAGCCGTGCGGAAATTCGCAACAGTCACCACCAGCCGCTCTGAGGCCTGGCTTAACTAAATAAATTCCAAATGTATCTGTGCCTACTTCTCATCCTCATACATTCAATATGTCTAGTCAGTCCGAACGTATCTGTATGGTATCTGAGGGAAGGTGCAGAAAATCGTGATTGATCTGCGTTCCTGCATAGCAACGTCAAAACTTTCCTATACTAGAAACCAGCCAACGACCTCCCAACTGCCCGCCCTTTGACGGACGACCAGGTGACCCTCTCCCACAACCGCCGCCCCGTTGCCTCGCGAAACACCCGGTCGGCGAGCGCAACCTTGTTAAAGGTGCAACGACGCCCTCTATACCCACTTACATGGTCGACGACATTCCCCATATAGAAACCGCCCGCTAAACGACAAAAGACATCCATCTACAGGCAGTCATCCTGGCTGCGAATTTAAGATAGTGCTACTGTGAGTACACCCTGAGCTAGGCCAGTAGGTACTGCCAACTTTTTTTTTTTTTTTTTTTTGAGAAGTTGTCTCTTTATATTCCAAAAACAGTGGTCGAGGCCGGGGACCTCACAATTCAACCCGGAGTCCCCAAGTCACCATGCTGGAAACCGGGTCCAGCGTCCCAAGAGCACTCAACTCTCAACAGAATTACGACTTCTCAAAAAACCAAACTTGAAGCTCAGAAAAAAGGGTGACTGAGGGGAAATACATGTATATTCCAATCCTACGGCCTATGCTATTCTTTAAGCACCAATTTGACCATTCAATCCTGCTCCCAACTAGCCCAATCTCAAAATCTACCTACTCGTACTTGTCTAACTGGGCCTTGTCAAACCAACTGCGTCTCGCCTCAAAGGCATTCTTGAGCTCATAACGAAAGCATTTTCCTTACTACACCAGTTCCAGAGAAGCCTAAATCGGCCTCTAGATAAAATCCATACTCAAGGAGGCTTTAGCCACCGGGAGAGCATCAGCCTTTTGTCCAATGTCACAGTAGCCAGCTGTTTGTCTTTAGCCCACGTCTTCAGAAACCAGGTAACTCCTTTCTTTTCGCTCCTGGGCCCTTTTTGCCAGTCGGCCAAAATCATGCTTCTGATATTCCTTTTCACTTGGCTTTGCTGTTCTTGTACGGGAATTTTAGTACTCCTAAAAATTACAGAGTTCCTTGCCCTCCATATGTAGGAGAACTCCTCTGCAAACCAGAGCTTCGTAACCCCACCCTTCAGTATATGAACCATTCTGAACTGGTGGGATCCCATACAGTGACCAGTCATCTGTCCATGGCCATGCTGGGCCAGTAATGAGATTCCAGTGTTGGAGCCACCATATCCAGAGTTCGTCAGCCAGTGGACAACATAACCATAGATATGCGTTTGACTCCCAGCCCCAGTCGCACCTTCTGCAGGTGATTGAGATCTCCATGCCCCACAGGGCTGATGCAACCACCAGCAAGGATTGAAGCCAGAGAAGACTGGCGTCCTTCTGCGAAGGAAGACTGATCAGAGCCTGCCAGAAGGCTGTCCAATCAGGCTTCAGGGGCACCCCATTCTTCACTTTTACCAGTCTTTTGGTAGCCAAAAAGGAAGGAGTTTCTTTATCTTCGGTTGTCGCATTGTGGTACCAATCTTAGCTTTATACTGTGTAAGAGGTATTGGTTCCTGTCCTGCCACCTTCCAGCTCCTACTTTCTGGTTCCACCCGAAACTGGTCAGAAGTACCTAGGAATTTAACTTGCTTTCCTTTATGTCTGGACCACACTCTCACCTCTTGAAGACCCTTCGCAGTCTGGATCGTCCTTTCTGAGTCAACAACCATCTCTTTCTGGGAGGTGTCCCCACTCGAGACGAATCCTGGAATCCTCCACTCAACTCTTATTCCTTTAGCCAGGTCCGGGCCCAAAATTCTCCAGACCCTTCCTTGGTCCTCCTCCGAGTACACCCAAGTATCTGCTGCCATCTCTGTGTCTTTCCTCAGAAGTTGGACCCAACCACTCGAGATTGCCGCCATCAGAGAAACCAAGTTCTTATCAACGTTGCGGAGCCGGGGCAGTTTCTGTCTCAGTGCCTCAGCGGAGATCCGTTCCTCCCTCTCTTCATCCCAAATATGCCTTATTTGCATTACACCTTTCTTTAGCCACGAGTGCCCGAAACTTCCTGCCGTACCTCCTGCCGTGAACTCTTCACCGTTATCTTGAGTGATGTTGCTGTTCTCGAATAAAAGTTGGTTTAATGTCTCTTCCCTTGAGCTGGGCTTATTGCTGCTCCGAGGGAGTATCTTGTTCCATGCATAGAGGATGTCCCTCCATACTCTTGAGTATGGTCTCTTGTTTCTATAAGAAGGGATTAGGAGGCACAACCAAACCATTTCTGGAGTAGACAGTCCCCATGTATTACTCAATATATAGGCTGATCCACAGTTTAGAAGGATCCTCAAACATGACCTTCACGGGCCATTTACTTAGCAATGCTACGTTTTGGTGTCTGGGGTCCAACACTCCCAGACCCCCTTGCTTGCGAGGGAGGGCGATGGCCTCCCATGCCACCTTTGTCATGTGTCCTTCTCCTTCCTTAGCATTCGGATTCCATAGATATTTAGCAACATTTCTCTTGATCTGTGTATAGGCTTCGTCCCCCAATCTGATTATTGCTCGGGAGTACCAGAGAAGGGAGAAGGCTGCCGAGGACAGTACCAACGCACTTCCATATAAGGAGAGGCTGTGGTTCCTTTGCCAGTTGCTTACCCGCGCCATGACTTTGTCTGCCAGCAGCTGGTCCTGGGCCTTTGAACAATCTGAGAGTGAGACCAAGATACCCAAGAAGCGCTCCGAGTTCTCTGTAGGTATTTGTCGAAGACCCCAGTTGACCTTCAGGTCGAACATTGCAGGTAAAAGTAGACTGATTAATGCCAATTTTGGATGCCTTGGAAATAACACAGTAGCTATCTAAGATACTCTTGAGTTTTGTCAGAGCCTCCGAACTATTTTCATAGGCTATAGTCAAGTCGTTAGCAATCGCTCCCCCTTTCCATTGTAGTGAGGGATAAAGGGAGAGTCCGACTATTCTAGGATTAAATCTAATATTATCCAATAAAGTTTTGGACTGCCGACTTTTTGGACTGCCTCCGGCTGCACTGCTGCTCGCCCAATTCTGTAAACTCGAAAATTGCACGTGTATCTTCAGCAAAAAAGTCGGAAAGAGTGGCGAAATGGATATAGTTGAAACACCTTCCCAAAAAAAACAAGTACACAACCGCCATAGCTTTTGTCCTTTCACAGTCGTTCTGCTACAGCCTCGGGCTCGGTCCCAAAGCGCGTTGTCGTGGTAGTTGGCTACCGAGGTGTGACAACGGAGTGACACGCGGTGTGGCACTCGACAAGTCATCGAACGGAGGAGGATCCCACCGGCAAGGCTTGCAAGCCTTTTCCGATTTTGGCTGTTGCATGTCGATCTTCACAATCTACGGCTAAAATGAAAAACGAGCACCAGAGAACACGCGGTCACTAGCGGCATTTAGGGCATCCATTTTTCATTTTTTTTTCTTTTTTTCTTTTTCTTTTAGCAGAAACATATTAAATTGGGTTGACCCCGTGGACCTCACAATTCAACCCCGGAATGCTGCTGAAAAACAGGTTCAGCGTCCTCATATCACCAGCTGGAAACCAGGTCCAGTGTCCTGTCTCTTCCTGGAGAGCAGGTCCAGCGTCCTCTGCCTCTAAGAAGTCTTACAGAGATGACCCTTCTTGATAGCTACACTGCTTATCCCAGATTTGCAAGCAATACAAGGGTACCTTATCTTCCTATTGTTGAGGACCTTCCAGCCTACTGACTGATGGCTGTTTGGGGTCATGCCTCCTGTTCATCCAACAGTAGTCTAGAGAAGAAGATCTGACTTGACTCCACTGAGCCTGCCCATCTAAACGGTTGCCTTTCAGGTCGGGTACCCCGGGCCTCTGGAAGTTGCGGGGCATTAATGACAACGCCCTACGGCCGGTGTATGGGCCAAGTACTGATGGTTTAACGTGGGGATGGGTAGGGTAGGTGGCCTATCCTTTCAGGACAACCATTGGCTTCCGCTGCCAGCAATCACCACGGGTCTGGTCCTTGGCCTTTTTTTTTTTTTTTTATAAGAAAAAGGGACCGGCCTCCCCACATAAAGACTGGACTGGGAGCCTTACCCAGCTTCGCTTTTCACAACACCCACAGAGACCCGATCTACACCTACAAAATTCCGCCTGTTAAACCACCAGTGCTTGCAGGTAAGGCTGCAAGTGCGGTCTTCCCTTGGCTTATCTGCCTACAGGGACCCAATCTTCCCCTGTTCGGACCGACCCTACAGGGACCCGATCTCCAAGTGGGATCGACCAAGGGAAGGCCTGGTCGTCGCCACAAGGCCGGGCGCCAGCTTCTGAGTGATGAACCTTCCGCTACAAGGAAAAGAAATAAAAAAACGCAATAAAAAACAGAAAAACAAAGAAAGAAAATGGATCCGGTTTGGTGGATATGCGGGAGGAGAGAGAGAGAGAGAGAGAGAGAGAGAGAGAGAGAGA